AGGCTGTAAATAAGGACGAAGCTCAGATAGCAGAATTAAAGGCTAAGTTGAAGCTTGCAGAGGACCGTTATTGGAAGCAAGGTTAGGATGAGGTTGGTGTTGCTTATTTAACTGAGGTCCGCAAAGCCAAAGATGGGATTTATGTCCAGGCTTGGAATAATGCTTTGACTGCGATGAATGTACCAAAGAGTTCTCCTCTTTATAAGGAGATCCCAGCTTCTTTAACAGGAAAGGCTCATCCGACCACCCAGCAGATTGTACCATCGAGTGCTTCCTACCATTGATCAGTTGACTCTTTTGCCAGCTTCTACTGTGGTTGGATAATCTGATTACTATTCAGGAGACCATGTTGCCAATCAATTCTACTGCTCCTTTAGATGTTCCTCAAAAATAGCTCTTTTCTTTTTATCTACTTTTTTTTTTGGTGACTCCCCTTGAGGAGTTTGGTTGCTTTTTGTGAACGCAAGGTTTGACTTCTTGGTTTTTGTGACTCTTGCAAGATTATCGATGAGATGTTATATGTTTTTGTCAGTCTATTTGATCTTCATCTTTATTTTTCCTCGTCTAAGCAGTGGCTCCAAGGCCGAACGAACCATTTGTTCGGACAGACCAGGCTTCTTGTCTTAGAATTTTTTTTTAGGAACAGAAGTTTTGTCTGCCCCCGGCCGAGTAAAGACTCAAAGGCCAAACAGACCGTTTGTTCGGACAGACCAAGCTTATTACCTTAGAAAATTTTTAGAAACATAGGCATTGTATGCCCCTCAACTGAAGCAAAGGCTCTAAGGCCGAACGGACCATCAGATCGGATAGACCAGGCTTCTTGTCTTAAAGAAAGAAAGCTTTGTGTGCCCCACGGCCGAGCAGAGGCTCCGAGGCCGGAAGGACCGTCTGTTCGGATAGACTAAGCTTCTTGCCTTGGAAAAAATTTTGAAAAATAAAAATAAATAAGTAGATAAAAAATATACTGAGTTTGACCAAACACTTCGTTGTTTGTTTTTTACTTGATTCGGTCAAGTTTAGCTCATCGGCGGGCGTAACTCAGCCCTCCGTTGAGCATGAGTTGTTACCATGGACCATGCTTTCAAAAAATGATATTCGACACAAATTCCACCAAGCTATACCACTTGGCGCCCTACTCCAACTAGAGGTTGAGATTTCGGGCTAGGGCATAGGTTAAGACCTGTAACCCAATCTTGCTGAATTGTAGAGCGAAAATATACACGACACGTATGAAAAAGAACACAATTGTATGGAAAAGTTGATTTCATTGATACTCATAAGATGGGGATTACATTTAAAAGATGTTCAAGTCATTATATCGATGATAGTATTTCTTCAAATTGGCAACATTCGAAGGGTGAGGAATAGGGTTCCTTGTTAGATCGGCAAAATAGTAAGCTCCGTTGCCCAAGGCAGAGGTGACTTTGTATGGCCCTTCCCAGTTGGGTCTGAGCTTCCCTTCTGCAAGGACCTTTTTGTGATCCATGACCTTGCTTAGAACCACATCTCCAGGTAGAAATTGTCTGATAAGCACATTTTTATTAAAGCTTCTGGTAAATTGTTACTAATAGGCTGCTAAGCAAATGAGGGCAGCCTCTCTGCATTCTTTTGCTAGGTCTAGAGCTTGAGCAATGGCCTCATCATTGTTTGCTAGTTTGAAGGTTTCAGACCAAATCGTGGGGAGATCGACCTCTAGAGGGATGATGGCCTCTATTCCACAGGTGAGGGAGTAGGGCGTCTCCTCTGTTGATCGCTTTGTTGTAGTCCTGTATGCCCATAAGACATTTGGTAGTTCTTCTACCCATTTGCCTTTTCCAGGCACTTCTTAATTCCGTTAATGACAATTTTGTTAGACGCATCGGCTTGACCATTGCCTTGAGGGTAGACTGGAGTAGAGTTTTTGAACTCAATCTTTAGGTCAGAGCAGAATTTCCTAAAAACCTTCCCATCAAACTGGGTACCATTATCAAAGAGTAGGACTCTAAGGATGCCAAATCGAGTGATGACACTTCTCCAAATGAACCTTTTCATGTCAGCTTCCTTTATGCTTGCTAAGGCTTCAATCTCCACCCACTTGGTGAAATGGTTAGTGGTAGCAATGAAGAACCTTTTGTTAGTAGTACCCCTTACTAGAGGTCCAATAATGTCTAGATCCCATTGTGCAAATGGCCATGGGCTAGTGAGGGGAGTTAGGTACTTGCCTGGTTGATGAATGAGTGGGGCAAATCTTTGGCACTTGTTGCATTTTTGGACGTACTGCTGGGCATCTTTTCGTATACGCGACCACCAGTACCCATGAGTGAGAGCTCTGTGTGCCAAGGATTGACCTCCAGTGTGGCTGCCATAGATCCCCTCATGGATTTCATAAAGCAAATTCTCCATAAGATTGGGATGAACACAAAGAAGAAATGGACTGAGGTAAGACTTTTGTAGAGCTTGCTCGAGGGTGAGACCCAAAATCGCGCAACTTAGTGCCTTATTTTATGTGCTTCTTTCTTGTCATCTGGAAGGGTACCATTTTTTAGGAAGGCAAGGAGAGGGTTCATCCAGCTCGGACCGAGGTCAATACAGAGGACCGAGCTGGGTGGATCAACAGTCGGTTGAGGAACAAATTCGACCCATATCTTATGGCCATTTCTAGAGTCCACCAACGAGCCAAGACAGGCTAAAGCATCGACATGGTTGTTCCCATCTCGGCCAATTTTCTCAACCCTGATAGCTTGAAATTTGTAGATAAGGTGCTTGGCTTATTCAGCATATGATGTCATTTGCTCATCGCGGGCTTTGTATACTCCAGTCAGTTGGTTCACCACAAGTTGGGAGTCACTATAAACAAGTAATTCCTTTGCATTAAAGTGTTTGGCGCTGCATAGGCTGGCTAGAAGAGCCTTGTATTCCGCTTCATTGTTGGAAGCTTTCCATCCTAATCTGATGGCTTGCTCCTAAACAAACCCCTCTGGTGAAATAAGGACCATTCTTGCTCCAGAACCCTTTTGGTTGGAGGATCCATCAATGAATAGCTGCCAGACATCACCAATGAAAAGTTTTCATGCCTCAGTGGGGGTTTGATAAGTGTTGTGGGCTCTAGTTGCTAGGGTCGTGCTCCTTTGGAGGGACTAGTCAATCTTGGAGTGAATTCAGCCACGAAGTCTACTAACACTTGAGCTTTGATAACAATCTGTGGTTAGAATTTAATGTCGAACTCCCCTAGTTCTACTACCCACTTTGATGTCCAACCTAAGAAATCATCTCAGCTGAACACAAACTTGAGAGGGTATTTAGTGAGGACATTGATAGTATGTCCTTGGAAGTAGTGAGCAAGCTTCCTAGAGGCGATCAATAGGGCGTATGCTAGTTTCTCTAGTGGTAGGTATTTGGTCTCGGCATCCAGGAGGGTTTTGCTAACGTAGTATACTGGCTTTTGATCCTTCCTTTCCTCTCTAATCAAGACTACACTCACAACGTGATGGGAGACAGCCACGTAGAGAAAAGACTCTTCGTTGGGGACTACAGTGGACAAAAGAGGAAGGGAAGAGAGATACGTTTTCAACTCTATGAGTTCTTCGGAGCACTGGTCATCCTATTCGAAGCCTGCCTTATTCTTTAGGAGCAGGAAGAATGGTCTCATTCATTCGAAAGACCGACTAATGAAACATTTCAATGTTGTGGCCATGCCAGTGAGCTTTTAGAGTTCCTTAGCCTTTGTAGGTGCCTCAATGTCTTAGAGGGTCTTGATTTGGTCGGGGTTGGCTTCGATGCCACGCTTGGTCACCATATACCCCAAGAACTTCCTTGAACCTATCCTGAATATACACTTTGAGGCATTCAAGCGAAGCTTGTGGGTTTTCAGGATTCAGAACACCACCTCTCAGTCTTTTAGATGGTGTTCAACCAATTTACTCTTGACCACCATGTCATCGATATAGGCCTCCATTGTCCTGCCCAGTTGGTCCTTGAACATTTTGGCGACCATCCGTTGATAGGTTGCACCGGCTTTCTTCAGGCCAAAGGGCATCACTTTGTAGCAGCAGGTGCCCCTTGGGCTAATGAATGTTGTCTTCTCCTAATCTAGGCCAAACCTGGGGATTTGATGATAGCCACTGTAGGCATCCAGAAAGCTCATCCATTCATATCCGGTAGTTGCATCTACCTGTTGGCCTATCCACGGGAAAGGAAAGCTGTCCTTAGGAGAAGTTTTCTTAAGGCTAGTGAAGTTAACATACACCCTCTTTTTCCCGTTCTTTTTCTTCACCATGACAGTGTTAGACAACCATTTCGGATATTGTACCTCCTGTATAACCTCTGTCACGACCCGAACCCGCCCCCATGGGTTAAGGACGTAACCGGCCAGTAATCCTAAGATTACCTACGGCCTCAGACCAAAACAGACTTAACACATCAGAGTAAAGGGGCCAAAAGGGAAGCAAAATTTAAAACTTTGCCCATAGAGCCGTGCTTATATGCACATCATAACATTCCATACCAACTCATGTTAATAACTCACGTCAGAAATGCAGTAGCATAAAATTCTATACAGACAGGATCGTCCAACTAAGTCAACCCATGAAACTATATACAGACATAATCAAAAACTTCGCCACCGTGACAAGATATAAATACATAATGGAAGGGCGAAGACGGGTCTCGTGCGTGAGACGCAAGGGCTGACTCTCCAAAAACCTCTGTTGTTCCTCACAGACTTCACTGGGGCTGTGTTTGGACTTCTCCGGGCTCACCTACAAACACATGAATGAGCGTGAGCGATAGCCCAGTGAATAATATCAAATACAGAAATTACGTAAACAATGTAGAACAACAGGTTCCAAACGGCCTTAGGCCCAATTCCTATTTCTACTTAACAGATATATAAGTATACGAAATTCAAATCAAGTGACTGTAGTTCCAACCATTCTGGCCTTTGGCCCACTCAGATTTCCATTCATGTCAAAACGGCCTTCGGCCCATTCATTCATGTCAAAACGGCTTTCGGCCCATTCATTTATGTTCAGGCAGTTGCTGATGTAGCTGCAGCTATTAAAGCTGGATTTTATGATATTGGTAAGGGTCATCTATTATTGGAGGATGGCTTGGATGTCAGCAATCTTGATGCCTCATCTGTTCTTTATTTATATTTTAAAATGTATGCATCTTCTATATAGGAATTGGCGCTGGGCTGGAATCCATGACAGCAAACCCAATGGCATGGGAAGGATCAGTCAATCCAAAAGTATGCTCTTTTATATTTCTTTCCATGTCTTTATTGTGGACTTGGATGAATTTTCTTGGGGAGGTAATTTCCTTGACATGATTTCCATAGGTGCTAATCAGATCTTCCTATATTTGTATCAGGTCAAGACAATGGCACAAGCCCAAGATTGCCTACTCCCAATGGGTGTTACTTCCGAAAATGTTGCACATCGTTTTAGTGTAACAAGGCAGGAGCAAGACCAGGCTGCGGTGAGTTGAATTGATCTGTCAACTTGTTTATTTTCTAATGTTGTCACCCTACTCGTTTTATTGATTTCCTTGACCTGTGTTGTTAGGTTGAGTCACATAGGAAGGCTGCTGCTGCAACTGCCTCTGGTAAATTTAAAGAGGAAATAATCCCAGTGGATACCAAGGTACAACTTGTTTATTGCAGTTTCAGTAAGATTGTGATACCGAATTTCAGCTGCTCATTCACTGTTTTCCAAGTTTGTGTATGGTTCAAATTTGTGCACTGATATATATATATATATATATATACTTTCTGTAAAAAGATTGTTGATCCAAAAACTGGAGATGAGAAACCCGTGACGATCTCAGTTGATGATGGAATTCGGCCAAACGCAACGATATCGGACTTGGCAAAACTGAAGCCTGTATTTAAGAAAGATGGGACAACCACTGCTGGTATTTTTAAGCACTGCATTTGTGGGTTTTTATTTGAGAAGTGTATTTATTGTGATTTTTCTCTCTTTTGGTGCCTCTACTGTAGGAAATTCTAGCCAAGTGAGTGATGGCGCTGGAGCTGTCCTCTTGATGAAGCGAAGCATTGCAATGCAGAAAGGACTACCCATTCTTGGTGTATTCAGGTTTGTAATTCAGACAATATGTTTCTTGGATCAAATTGAGAATAAGTTTGGTTAAGCTGTGTGTCTTGGACATATGTCAATCCTTGAATGCTGTGCTTCTAGTTCCAATCAATGGACTTTTGTTTGTCTTTGCTGTGACCTTTGAAGCCTACTTACTCCATACATTTAGGAGAAATTTGAATGTGCTGCTTTTTTGCCTTTGCAGTAGTGTTTCTTACCTGTTTTCTGCTCTTTTATCTGTCTCACTAGATGTCACCGTATCTCTCCATGAGTTGCTCAATTGATTTTCTGGTTCTCAAAACAAGTTTTCTCTGCAACTGTCCTTTATGATCTTCACAATAGTTCATTTTTGTTTTCTATTGGTGTAAAGCCTGATGCTGATCAAACAAATTCTGCTGAAATTGTACTCCAAAATTGTCCCAAGCCTTCATGGAGGAAAAATTATTGTCAGCACCAATTCTAAGCTATTGATGTTCTTGTCTCTTTGTTTTTCGTTATACATCTTTGGCCAGGCTATGAGGTCTTAACTTCAATTATTACCATGTATAAGACCAGCTAAACCTAATCGATGAAGCCATAACCGACAGAAATGGGGCTGTTTGGCATAATCCTCCTCCCCAGTCAGCCTAGTTAGCTGTGTCTGTAGCCATGCACCTTGGCCAATCCCCTGCAAGGTACTGTGGGTGAACAGGGGCAGCCCCAGCACCAGGTTAATCTAACTCCCCAAAAATGTGACCACTTGCCGCAAAGATGGCCCCCATGAGGCTTGTTTTCTTGCCTTTGACCAATTCACCCGAACCCTCCCAAGATCAGCAAACAAGTCTTTGTCTTCATGGCGAAAGATCAGATGATCCTCCTTCCCTCTCTTTTTACCTGGGTTGTGTAAACTATATGCAGATATATAGAAAACACAGTATCAGGATCACGCCAACTGGCCACTCATAGCTAGGTCGAAAGAGTTGTCTTTAGAGTGTAGTGTACAATTGTGGTTTTGTTATGGATTTTACATTTCAGTTGATTACTTATTGCATAGTTTAATGAACAATGGATTAATGGCTTTCCACCTAGATATATCACCTCATTTGAGCCATCTCATGTTGCAGTTTTAGTTGTTAGATATTTGCCCAAAGAGTTGGAACACGATTAAGAAATATTCTACCATTAGATATTTTACTGCACTGAATTTCTCACTCATTTTTCGCCAATCCTATTTTAGCTCCTGCTGTGTCAATATCAACACTAGAATTGTACGTATTTATAATTGCCATATCTTTCATGGCTGGACCTCTTCAAATAGAAGAGAAGACAGTTAAAGAAGTTTCTAACTATTTAGAAATTACTCGGTGATGCTCTTGTAGGACTTTTGCTGCTGTTGGCGTTGATCCTGCTATCATGGGAGTTGGACCTTCTGTTGCAATTCCAGCTGCAGTCAAAGCTGCTGGCCTTGAACTTGATGATATTGATCTTTTCGAGATAAATGAGGTAATGTTAAAATATGAAATGGAAATTCTCTCACACTCACGTGCACCCTATTTAATATGTTTTTGTAACATCTAAATCTGAGAATGTTCCAATTGTATTTCTTTTTACATAGGCATTTGCATCCCAATTTGTATATTGCCGTAAGAAGCTTGAACTCGATCCTGAAAAGATCAATGTTAATGGAGGTGCAATGGCCATTGGGCATCCTTTGGGTGCTACAGGTATTTATGTCACACATTTTAACTTAATATTTTCGTAGTGTTCTCATTTGAATACATTACTCATGCATCCATACCTTTATCCTGTTCAAAATATTTTCTTAGATGCTGTATAATGTAACTAGCTGTTTCTACTTCATTCTCTTTTCTTTTTTCACACATCTTACATTTATAAAAATGCGTGTTAGTTATTACCTTATTCTTGTCATAATCGAGCCTTGTTTTTATGATTTATTAACTGTAAGGAGATGGCTTGTGTCTGCTTTAGGGGCACGATGTGTTGCCACGCTGTTGCATGAGATGAAGCGTCGTGGCAAAGATTGCCGCTTTGGTGTTATATCAATGTGTCTATTTTATTTTTATTGAATATATGCCCTATGTGCTTAAAGATATGGTTTGTGATTCTCATTTGCAACTCATCTCCAGGCACGGGAATGGGGGCTGCAGCTGTTTTTGAAAGAGGTGACTCTGTTGATGACCTCTGCAATGCTCGGAAGATTGGGACCAACAACTTTTTATCTAAGGATGCTCAATAGATTTGTGACTCTGTTGATGACCTCTGCAATGCTCGGAAGATTGGGACCAACAACTTTTTATCTAAGGATGCTCAATAGATTTCCATTCATTCCTTCCCAAATTTATGAATTATGTTGCATTTTAATAATATTGCATCAATATGCTTGTGGATGTAATGCCCAAGATGATGAGATGGGTCAAGGCACAAAGTTAGCAACAAATATGATCATAATCTGTTCAACATTTTATTATAGTTTTTCTTTTTCTTTTTCTTTTTCTTTTTCTTTTTTGAGAATTTTCGACCTTTGGATAGCCAAGGATAGCTCAATTTTTAATGTTGTGTAATTCAATTTTTTTTTTCTTCATTTTTGTTAAATAATGTTATAACGTATGTGGTTTTTCAGACATTCATTTTCTTAATTTTTGTCACCAGATGAAATTCAATGTTTTGTTTGTTGCTTGTGAGACTGCGGAATGTTTAAAGCATCCATCTTCTTACCAGAAAGAAAACCTCTAAACAGCAACAGTTGAAAATCCGTTATGAAAATGGTGATCTTATTGTTGATCTACTCAGCCAACCCTTTTGGCAAATTTGATCCCATGGTAACAGCACCTCCAAGCCTCAGAATAGGCCCCATCTCTTTTGTCCAAGTCCTTGTAAGCCAAAACCTCAACCTACAAATCCTCCTCCTAGTCCTCGCATTTGAGTGCTTCACTTTTTCTTCTACTCTACATGGAATGAAGATGATTTTCCTCTACTCGAAGTTGGAAACACTCGGGTTCCCCTTTGCATCATGGTTGGAAAATTCCCAATCCTGAAACCAAAGAGATTTTCATGGATGGTCTCATTCGTTCGAAAGACTGACTAATGAAACATTTCAATGTTGTGGCCATGCCAGTGAGCTTTTAGAGTTCCTTAGCCTTTGTAGGTGCCTCAATGTCTTAGAGGGCCTTGATCTGGTCGGGGTTGGCTTCGATGCCTCGCTTGGTCACCATATACCCCAAGAACTTCCTTGAACCTATCCTGAATATACACTTTGAGGCATTCAAGTGAAGCTTGTGGGTTTTCAGGATTCAGAACACCACCTCTAAGTCTTTTAGATGGTGTTCAACCAATTTACTCTTGACCACCATGTCATCGATATAGGCCTCCATTGTCCTGCCCAGTTGGTCCTTGAACATTTTGGCGACCATCCGTTGATAGGTTGCACCGGCTTTCTTCAGGCCAAAGGGCATCACTTTGTAGCAGCAGGTGCCCCTTGGGCTAATGAATGTTGTCTTCTCCTAATCTAGGCCAAACCTGGGGATTTGATGATAGCCACTGTAGGCATCCAGAAAGCTCATCCATTCATATCCGGTAGTTGCATCTACCTGTTGGCCTATCCACGGGAGAGGAAAGCTGTCCTTAGGAGAAGTTTTCTTAAGGATAGTGAAGTTAACATACACCCTCTTTTTCCCGTTCTTTTTCTTCACCATGACAGTGTTAGACAACCATTTCGGACATTGTACCTCCCGTATAACCTCGGCCGCCAATAGCTTATCTACCTCTTGGTTCACCGCTTCTGTGTGTTTTTGCAAATGATCATCTGCTCTTTTGGACTACGGGAGGAGTGGTGACATGCAAACCGGGGTCCAATCCAGGAGTCCCATAAGCAAACTAGGCAAATACTTCGATGTTCTTGCGGAGGAGAGCTAGCAACTGCTCCTTCTCTCCACAAAAATCGAAGTGCCGAGCAGAAAGTACTTGTTTGGATCTCCTCCATTCACCAAGATCATTTCAAGGTCCTCTAATATCTTCTCCGTTGGTATTCTACCAACGTTTTCCAGTACAGGTTGATCAGACAGTTTGACCATTTGGACTTCTTTGTATGCTTGTTTAGACTTCATGGGGGCGATGAAGCAGTGCTTCACCGCAACTTCGTTGCCTCTAATCTTCTCCACTCCATTTTTTGTTGAAAAATGGACTATCTGGTGGTAGGTGAATGGCACCACCTCTATTGCATGAATCCAAGGATGTCCAAGGATTGTATTGTAAGGAGATGGAGTGTTGATCACCAAGAAGTCGACAGGGACCACTTTGGACTTTGTTGTGATGGACAAGGTGATCCAGTTGAGCGGCCACTCTGTCTGTCCATTGAAGCCGACCAGAGGGGAAATTACCGGGGTTAAGTGTTGCTCATCGAGACCCAACTTCTTGAAAAGGTCATAATACATAATGTCAGTGGCGCTTCCTTCATCAATTACGACCTGTTTCACATCAAATTTGTTTGTCACAACAATGGTGACGATCAGGGCATCAATGTGGGGATGCTGGATTCCTTCCAGATCCTTCTCAGGGAATACAATGTCGAACTGAGAGGGCTTTGCTTCTGTTCTAGACTTCTTCAGCGGTGGTCCTATTGACATGACTTATTGTAAGTGCGTGTCTCTCTGAATCTCGCCACGAATGGCATTCTCTCTTTAGGGGTCGGTCATCCCATGGATGATGTTGATAACTAATCATGGGGCTTGGTCCCCTGGTGGAGGAGCTGGAGGTTACACTTGTTTTTCCCTAGTCTTCTCAACATTAATCCATTGTTGGAGATGGTCGGCAGTGACCAAGTCCTCTTGATGCCTCTTACGGTCATTGCAGTTCTGTGTCTTAGGCCCTTTTTCATAGTGGTAGGAGCACCGCCACTCCTGATTGCGTCGGGCAGGGTACCCTATCATCTTGGGGGGCTAAACAAAGTAGGGCTCTCCTTTGATTTTTTCTAGGAGCTTATAGCTCAGCTCCGTGAACACAATAGTTATGGCTTCATAAGATCTACTCTTTCTTCTTCAGTTTCCATTGTGGGTTGCTTAGTTTGGCCATACCTCATTCTCTAGTCCTTCCTCCTAGGCTGCTCAGTCCTGTGTTTCTAGGAGGCCTTAACTCCGTCATCTACAACTGACGCTTGTACACAGGTAGGGTCATCTTCCACACGGGCTCGCTCCTCTATTCGGGCTCTCAACTCTTTCAAGTCAGAGGTGAGTCGTTTCATCAACGACTGCCTAAGCTTATATGAATGGGGGAGACCTTGTTTGAAGTATAGAGCTACCAATGGCTCGCTACAAACATCTTTTTTTCTGAGTCGCCATATGCCTTCCAATATCGTCAAGCGTACTCGCATAAAGATTCATTTTTATCCTTCCAAATATTGAACAAGGTGTCCAATCCCTTCAAGATTCAATTATTAGAAACAAACTGTGTGAGGAAGGCGTCAGAGAGCTGAGCCCAATCATAGATTGATTGAGGAGGAAGCTTGTCGTACCATTGGAGGTCGTGCTCACCAAGGCTAGAGGCGAAAACCTTGCACATAAACGCATCGTTCTGATTCCAGAGTGACATCATTTGGTGGTAGTGGGTGATATGAGTCAGGGGGTCTAACTTCCCATCATAGAGGATGAATTTTGGTGGACTGTACATCTGAGGAGCTTGCACCACCTCAATCTCAGGGCAAAGAGGGGAAGCGACTAGTCGGTCTAGAGCACGATGCTCTATCTGATGAACTCTATCTGATGAACGGACCAATCTAGATGCTCTTTCTCCTTTTCTAAATTGGGAAGAGAGAGAGAGAGAGAGAGAGAGAGAGAGATTTCATTTCCATGGATAAAACCACTTGTTACTGAACTTGTCATGTATATTTTGAAACATGAATATAGACAATTCGAGCATTCTGTATCAAATTTAGAGTGTTCTCTGCATATTAGATAGTTCTACAAAAATTGATAAAATGGAGGTGGGAAGGCATATTTGAAGCTGGCTAATTGGCCCTGAAATTCCCAATGGACCAAGCTTGTAAATATACAAATCGGAGGATACACACATTTTCATAAACAAATTCTAGCAGCAGTGAAGGCCGTGTTAGTTGCAGTGGCACCACATGTACCATGGAATAACTGAAACAATTCATGATTGTGAATATCAGGGAAGATGCAACCGATATATTATCCTCTATATCACTGCCAATAAGGCTTCCTGCTGCTTACAGACCGATCAAGGAGCATGTTTCTGAATTCGAAAATTAGGTTTTGAGCGATCATTTGCAGATTGTGTTGTTGTGAGCTTTTTCATGGCTTCATTTTCTAATTTCTTCTTTTCAGCATCTGCCTGCTGCTCATTTTCGTCATGTGCTTTATTGAACATCTTAACAAAGAAAGCCAAGATTTGTGTAACTGCAGGCAGAAACCAAAAAAATTAACAAAATTTTTTCTAATTATTGTTCACTTAGTTAAATTAAGTGCGAAACTTAAACATTTAATAGAAGAGAAGACAAAAAAAAAAAGCACTTTCTTCTGGAGGTGTTATGGCTGCATTGACGTGGCTAATTATTTTTCATGTAAATTTTTTTTTTAACTAAGGATTCTAATTATTTATGATAAAGCAATTGCATTTTGTAGAACTTTTTACTTCCTGTTATAATGAAATTATATTTGACTCTTTGATTATCTTAATTAAGAACTTTCTTAGTCGATATTTGAGCCTTGGTTGAGGCGTTACCATAGTGCTTGGGCAAGATTGGATCAAAAACTTCAGATTCAAATAGTTGTTATTGAGTAGTCATCACTATTTTATCATTTTCTCTCTCCACACTTTGAATCTTGGTGTAAGGCTAGAGCCATTGGAATGCTAACTTCTAGGGATTCCATTTGGACACAAGAACGACCCTAAATGGAGTCCGAATAAGTGAGTTATGCCTATTTGAAGTTTGCGAATCTGTGCCATATGCATAGTTCGCGCGAGCGCAACTTTCACCGCTCGAGCGGTCCATAGACCATTCCAGCTCTACTTTTCAAAATTTTTTGAGATACTAGAAGCCTTGATTCACCGCTCAAGTGCACTTTTG